CTTGATTGACTTCAGGTGATGGGCATGTGATGATTTACATAACTATGGACTTACTAGGCACACCTGAATGGAAATACTGCTGATAATTGGCACAGTTGCCTCACAAAACCCTGAAGTGCAAATGGCAAAAACAAATATTAAGTAACTTGCTCAAATTCATACCTACCAGCAGTTTGATAGCACAGAATTGTTACTTTAAATAATGATTTAGTCCTGCCTCCCAACAAACACACCACAGTTCAATATGTAACATAAGCCTTTCAACAAAATGTTTGTTTGGGACTGGCTCTGCTACTTTTTAGAAGTACATAGACAGTGCATTTAATGAAGACCTCCTCTATACACTTATTTCTAATAGCACATGAATTAAGCTTTGTCACAATAATCATCATCATGTTATACTTAAGGACTGCAGCCTAAGCATAGATTAATGGAACTTTTAGAATACAAATTCACACAGGTACATACAACTGTGCTTCCATTATTCATGTTGTGAATGTCCCTGTGGGGATGGGCACAGAAGTCTAGGCAAGCAGTGACGCCAGAGAAGGGACGACCTTCCTTGCTGCCAAGCCGACATTCTCGGGCAATATTTTCATACTCGACCTAGAAAAGAAAGCATAGAGCACAATCTTAAGAGAGAGAAGGTGATCACCTGCCTTCCGTAAAGAGTAAAAATAATTTCCTGACAAAGTTTCTGTATTAATTACACTTTGTAATTTCTGAAACTAAGTGTATTATTGTGGTGAAGGTGTAGTTTAGCAATATTCAGGATAAAGCACTTGACAATACACAGAGTAAAAGGAAAATCATTATCTTTACAAGGGAAGGCGGGGGAGAATACTAATTCTTGCTGGTGATGGATAAGTAAAATAGATTCAGTCAATCCATTAAAAAGAAAGACCAATAAAACTGCATTAATCACATACAGAGAATTTTCAATATCCAAAAAGAAGATATAGATACATTTCATGAACGATTATAGAAAATTAATTTTAAAAAAAGAGAGAAAAAAAAGAAAATTAATTTGTAACTCCTTTTAAAATGAAAGGGTGGAGGCCAGGTGTGGTGGGTCATGCCTGTAATCCCAGCACTTGGGGGGGCTGAGGTGGGCAGATCACTTGAGGCAAGGAGTTTGAGACCAGCCTGGGCAACATGATGAAATCCCATCCCGACTAAAAATACAAAAATTAGTATCAGGGTGTGGTGGCACGTGCGCCTGTAGTCCCAGCTATTCAGTAGGCTGAGGCCAGGGAATCATTTGAACCTGGGAGGCGGAGGTTGCATTGAGCTGAGATTATGCCACTGCACTCCAGCCTGGGTGACAGAATGAGACTGCGTCTCAAAAAAA